GGGAGCCTGTGGTGGCAAGGGCCCGGCGCCCCCTGGCCGCGCCGGATGAAAGTGGCAAGCTGCAGACCGGCCGCCTCGGCCGCTTTGTGGAAGCGAAGGATACACTTTAAAAATGCCCGGCGGCGGCTTGTCCTTGGGGAGGTTGCTCAGGAGGAACCTGCAGATGTTGAACAGCGACTCCGGCATCAGGGAACTGAAGGGCTCATCCTGGAGACAAAAAAAAAAGACGGGAAGCAAATGAAAGAGTCTGCTATTCACTACCGCCGAGTTCCAGAAGGTCGCCGAAATAAGGCCGGTGTGAGAAAAGCGCGACAGTATCAACCACTTGGTCAGCCGTGGCTCTTTGCAAAAGACCCTAACCCTATATCTTCTAGCAAGCGAAGCCCCGCCCCTCCTTCTCCGCCACGCGCAGGCACGAATTTGGAGCTATATCTTCTAGCAAGCGAAGCCCCGCCCCTCCTTCTCCGCCACGCGCAGGAACGAATTTGGAGCTTGCAACCGGCCATCGGAGTCGGTTGCGAGCCGGAGTCGGGCCTGGTCCTGCTCTCACCGTGTAGCGCTGAATGGGGTGGTAGACATGGTAGAGCTCTGCAAGCGTCTGGAAATGTTCAAACTTTGTCAGCATTTCATCTCGCTGGTCTTGGTTTTCTGTTGCGGACAAACGCAGCCGTTAAGAGACGGAGCGAGAACGACGAAAGCCGACAAAAGGCGTCCGGACGCGGCGGGCGGGCCTCACCTCTGGCGATGTCCAGACACTGCATGGAGAGCATCCAGTAGTAATAGCCGGCGTCATCGAAGCGCCTCTCCACCACGGCGTTGCGGGTGAGCTGCTCCAGCACTCTGACGGCTTCGTTCTGTCGCCCGGCCTTGTGAAACGCTAGGGAATCGAAGCCGGAGCGTATTGAGCATTCAAGACGCTCCTTTCACCCGCGTCGGAGGAGCGCTTGATGCACGCGCGGGCAAACAGCCCCGATTGTTGTTTGGCGGCAAAGCTCTCCTCTCCTCTCAGCGCTAAAGAATTTGGCAGAGGCCAACGTCAGCATGTGTGCGCTATTGTTAGCGCTGCTATCAGAGTGTAATTAGAAGCAGCTTGACGCGCCGGCAACCCTGCCCGGAAAAACCGCAGCTGGGGGTCCCGATATACTGATGTCGGTTGTTGAACGGGCCGACCGCTTTGGCTGTGCCAGAAACACGCCAACGCGTACTCGACGGGAGGCTACGTAGGCGGCCTCCCTCTCTCTCCGTCCGATCCTACCGTCGGGCTCGTAAGATGACGACTTTTTAGCCTGACCAAAAGGTGCCGTTTTGAATCGGTGAATCAAGACGACGCTGCGTTCTTGAAACGGAGCAACGTTGAAATTGAGATGGCACTCCGGGCGACGCGGATTACCGGGGGTCGTCACAAAATTGAAGAACCCCTCCGAGATCCGGCCACCCATCCGTTTGCCACGGCGCTTCACCCGAACGGGGTGGCGGGGAGTCGCCGGGAGGGCGCACTGAGAGACAAACGACCATTCGCAGCGTCGCCGAGTGGGGACCGATCCCACGCCGCCGGCGAGTCCCGCCAAAAGCTCCTCTGGCCCCAAAGAGCGGCGGCGGGAGCGCGACGCCTCATTGTCACGCACGGACTGTGGCCGGCAGAGGAGCCACGCCTTCGTCCGACCGACAACACCCGGAGAAGTCGGCCGCTTCCGAGGTCCATAGAGATGTTGCGACGTTGGAGAGGCTTGTCGGACCAACGCACCAGGAGGAAAAGCGGCAAACAAAAGCTCAGTTTGATGCGCCGGTGCAAAATGAAGGGCTTCGGTTTGGCTCGGTCGTGCGGAAGGAAACGTAAAACGGCACGCGCAGCCCCTCGAATATGTGCCCAGACAGCAACTTTTTCCGCAGCCAAGAGACGCGACGCGGGCTCAATTACACTGCGTAGGTCAACAACAGGGCCTCACTAAACACACACACACACCAAATGAAGAAGATCCAAAGCGCAGGCCTGCCAGCGGGCTCCCCGCCAATCAGACCCGCTCGGGCATGTACGTGTAACTTCACGCGGAGACGGCGCAGGGAGATTATGAAGCGGAGGAAATATGCCCGCTGAGATCGCAATTGTCAAATCTCTGAGCTGATTACGACGACGGCTCCAGTCGGTAATCATCATCACAGCCGCCCGATGAGCGGTTTACATTCCGCTCGGCTACCGGGCGGCGCCGCTCGCTTCTGCTCGGCTTCAGCAAAGAAGATCGTCTTCTCCGCAGTGGATCGTTGTGCATTTTGAAAGAAAAAAAAAAAAAAAAACCTGTCCAGAGGTGTTGGTGCTTTGTGACTGCCTCTGAGTCAACACGCTCCGTTTCCAGTCAGGCAGCTACGACGGAAAAGTGCAGTTTCAGCTTCCCGCTCGATGCGGGAAGGCGCGCGCTCACCTTTTTGTGCCTCCTCGAAACGGTCGTTCTCAGCCAGCCACTGAGCGTAAGGCACAAAGACGTCGTTTTTGAACTGGGGATGCTTCTCTGCCAGGGAGAAAGCCTGAGAAGACAAAATGGCGGAGGAGACGCCGTCCGTTTTCCCGTATGCTAGCAGGTTTGATCAAAATCAAGGACACGGATCACTTTTTTAACGACATTGTTCATGCCAACAAATTGATGTCATATCAAAAGTGATGCAAGGCAATAAGTTGCACGGTGTTGTGGCGGACGTTTCGTGTTCCGTTTCCGGCGCGGTCACATCCGTACAGCGAGAGAAGAGCAAAGTTGCCTCCCAACTGCCGCCTTCTTACCTCGCCGCTGTTCTTCTCGGCATTGCTTTCATGAAAACGAAGCCCGCGCTCCCGTACTCATTTCCCGCATTTCCACAAGTCACGTGTTGTCTTCGGCCGCGACATCCAAAAGGATTTTAGGGCGGCGTATTGGGAAGCGAGGCGGGGTGCGGGCTCAACACTAACTTTTGGAATCTTTCTTCATTCCGATTCTGAAGTCAAGGAAATCGTGGGAGCAAACGTGCAGAGACAAAAAAGGCTCGTTCGGGGCGATGTGGGAGGCGGCGGCACGTCATTCACCCCAAATGACGAGAGCTGAGAAAAAAGCTTCTGAACCGAGTGAATTCCACGCTCCATTAGACCAAAAGCCCACCCCTCGGGACCACCGGGCCAACGACACGCCGCGCGCAGTTGTCGGCACTCGCTGGCAGCGACGAACGGATGGAAATATTTGGCGAGGAAACGCAAAGCTGTTGGGGCCAAATGGAGATCTGCTGATCCGAGCTCGTGAGTCCAAGCCTGACGTCTGTCAGGTGGAAGGTGAGCAATGAAATCAGGCATCGGCCACCTTTTTGGAGATGCGCGTTTCTCGCCGCCGTGCTGCCACCAAAGGGAGGGCTGCAGCCGACTGAGTGTTTGTGGGGAAACGCAGCCCAACTTTTGGACGCAAGTCAGCCGTGACGCCGCGTGACCCGCAACGCTTCCGTTGATGAGCGTTGAAGCGCGCGTGCGGCGCACGGACAGCGGGAGAGGCGCGAGACCGGCTCGTTTTCGAGAGCAAAATAAAGCACTCGTGAATAGACGACGACCAAATGAATTTTGATCGTCCATACGTCCTCCTGACTCGCCGACTGATTGCGGCGGGCCTGTTGCTCAAATAGGAGCAATTCTGTTTTTGGCAACCCGCGAATATCCCGAAATGAAATGCAAGCCACCTCCCCGCCTCGTCTCAGCACGATGGTGGGCGCTGATTGGAGAATGTCATCGGAAGCCCAGCGGAGCAGCACATTGGGTGCGCGAGAACCTTTTGCGCTTTTCTCATCAGAAGGCGGGCCGGATGATCAACTTGGAAGCATAATTAGGCCCGTGTCATTAAAATTCAGCCTACTTTTCGAGAAGGGCGGCCGGCAGCGGTTTATGCTTTCCGTCGGCGACGGGCTAAAGAGGATCGATGTGCGCAACGATGTGCGGAGCGGGTGAGAAGGAAGGGGCCAGACCTCGTCCCAATGCTGCGTTTCCACGTGGAGCCGCACCAGGGCCCGCAAGTCGCCCATCTTGGAATACGTCTCCGAGGCGTAGCCGTGGTGCTTCAGCTTCTTGAAATAGGAGGCGCATTTTGCCAGCGGTTCCCGTTCGGCCTTGTCCAGCTTACGAGCCAAGTCGATCAGCCTGGAGGAAAGGAGAAAGGACGGGGGCGATGAAAGGAAGTGCAGCGGGATCGCTGGCTGCATTTGCAGCAGCCCGACGGCGGATTAGTCATCGGCGTCACCGAGCGGCCGCAGGCAGCGACGGCAAACAACGGCTCCGTCCCCGAAGGCACCTACATGTCGGCCCAGCCGTGCTCTCCCAAAACGTCGATGGCTTTGAGATTCTCTCCGGCCGAGATGTACATCTCGGCCGCCGCCTGCGGCTCCTTGCTCCACTTGGCCCCGTCCGGCCAGCGGTAATCCATCATTTCCGTGAGCGTCGACGCACGCGTAAACCCACGCTGGATCCCGTCCCACTCAAGACCAGACACGCCAAGGTCGCGTCGGAGACGGGGGACGGTGCGGAGTTCCTCCGGTTGCGGCGTGCGGCCCAACTCCATTTTGTACAGACAGAGAGAGGGCTCCCGGAGGCTGTACATCGGCGATATCAAACGCACGTCACGCAATCTGACACACGAGCGAGTCGGCGGCCTTTCGTCGTCTGCTTGGCACGTGCAAATGATGTGATGATGATCAAAGACTTTGCATGCATGGAAACCAACAAATCAATGTTTTTTTCCAACACCGAGCGACCACCGAGGGATGCGCGGAATACCAGATGCTCCATTTACAACTCTCATGCGTGCCTTCGTCACAACGCGGCTGGATGATTCAACCGCACTTGAATTTGGAGCCAGCCGAGCCTCCTTTCCAGTTGCTCCACAATGCCGCGGCTCAGCCCTTGCCTGGTACTCGTACCAAGAGGGCGCGCATCACTCCTACTCTGGCATCCCTCCACTGGCTCCTTTTTTCGAGTTCTTTTCAACATCCTCTGATTTGTTTTGCAATCTCGAAACGGCCCGCCCCCACCTGAACTCTCGGTCTGCGGACCGGACGCCATGACGGGTCCCGAGAACTAAGCTCCGAGGAGATGGAGCCTTTTTCGTTGCCGCTCCCTCTCTTTGGGATGAACAAAGCCCCCCCTCGCTCGCCATCTTTCAAACTCGCCTCGAGACTCGTTTCTGTTCTTTGACTTTGGACTCAGCACGAGACTCGGTTTTTAGGGGGGGACGGTTTTTGTGCTTTCTACCGTTGTAGGAATGATGTTTTGCTCCACGCGCGGGCGGCACTTTGTCTGCAGCCGAGCTTGTTTCTAAGTGCTCCAGAAATAGAGTTGCAGTTCCTCCGGTTGCGGCGTGCGTCCCAACTCCATTTTGTACAGACAGAGAGAGGGCTCCCGGAGGCTCCCGGAGGCTGTACATAGGCGATATCAAACGCACGTCACGCAATCTGACACACGAGCGAGTCGGCGGCCTTTCGTCGTCTGCTTGGCCCGTGCAAATGGTGTGATGATGATCAAAGACTTTGCATGCACGGAAAGCAACAAATCAATGTTTTTTTTCCAACACCGAGCGACCACCGAGGGATGCGCGGAATACCGGATGCTCCATTTACAACTCTCATGCGTGCCTTCGTCACAACGCGGCTGGATGATTCAACCGCACTTGAATTTGGAGCCAGCCGAGCCTCCTTTCCAGTTGCTCCACAATGCCGCGGCTCAGCCCTTGCCTGGTACTCGTACCAAGAGGGCGCGCATCACTCCTACTCTGGCATCCCTCCACTGGCTCCTTTTTTCGAGTTCTTTTCAACATCCTCTGATTTGTTTTGCAATCTCGAAACGGCCCGCCCCCACCTGAACTCTCGGTCTGCGGACCGGACGCCATGACGGGTCCCGAGAACTAAGCTCCGAGGAGATGGAGCCTTTTGCGTTGCCGCTCCCTCTCTTTGGGATGAACAAAGCCCCCCCTCGCTCGCCATCTTTCAAACTCGCCTCGAGACTCGTTTCTGTTCTTTGACTTTGGACTCAGCACGAGACTCGGTTTTTAGGGGGGGACGGTTTTTGTGCTTTCTACCGTTGTAGGAATGATGTTTTGCTCCACGCGCGGGCGGCACTTTGTCTGCAGCCGAGCTTGTTTCTAAGTGCTCCAGAAATAGAGTTGCGTCGAGAAAGAACGCACACGTAAAAGCACGCCATGTGCTGTTCGCATGATTTGCGCGGGAGGATTTATGAGGAGACGACGGGCCGTAAAAAGAGCTCGAGGGTGGTAAAAAGGCCACATGGGAACATACGACGTGTTGGCGTGAACGCGGTCTCGACGGCTGATCGGATCACCTTGGCGTAGTCGAACATGCGCAGGTCAGTGTACATGCCCAAAGCTTTGGGCTCCTGCCCGGTCCGCTTGTAGAGCTTGGCCGCCTCGTGGAATTTCCCCTGGTAGGCGTAGATGTCGGCCAGGAACAAGTCGTTGTCGTTCTCGCCCCTCTTCTTCCTCGCCTGCCAATCGGACGACACCAACAGTCACAACGGGCAGCTTTGCAGAGACGCGCACGCACACACACTTGAGCTCATTCTTTCAAATCTTTTGTGGGCACGTCCTGACAATTAATGACACCAAGAATTCGACATTCACTGCCGAGTTCGCGCACGTTATGTCGCACAGAATTTGACCGCGGTGTGCTTCTGTCAGCTTTGGCAAAAGCACCAACGATTAAAAAGAGAATGAAAATGAAGATGAGCAAACGAGAGTCTTTTACCTCAATGCTGTCGATGAGCTCCAAGTAGCGAAGGTCTTGTATCCTAATGAAGGCCTGCAACGCAGCGGAGAGATTTTACATGCCGCCTGCCGCGACACACGCACAAAATGGCGGATCAAACGGTCAAAATGGACACGTGGCTTATGTCGGCGGTTCTCAAACGCGGGTCCGGGAATCCGTGGGGCGTCCCTCAGCCGTGACTTGTGGGTGGGCCCGCAAAAATGATTTGCAATAAATGACTACGCGGATTCTTTCTGACGTCGTTCTTGTTGTGCTAAAGGCATCGCTACTTGTGGGGACCTGCGGCACGCAAACAAAGCCAACATACTCAGGATACGATGCCCCCTCGCCAACTTCGCTTTGGGCACATCCAAACGGGCAGCGTGTTTTTGGGCAATGTTCAGCGCCACTGACTCCGCGATTGCCTTCCTGCAAGGCTTTTTTCTGGTCCTCCGGAACACAAAGTGAAAATGAGTCCACCGCTCGTTAGCAGGAATTGAGTCGCTAGTTGCCTTTTATGGTTGAAAACAGTCAATAGAGTGGGGGCGGGGGGGGCAGGGGGTGGAGGGGGGTAATTGCTGAATTTTTGTACACTGACTGTGTTTTAGTAAACCAGCTTCTCTCTGCTCCCAGCCTTGTTCTTTTCGCAAGTCAGTGAGCAAACATGGATAAATAATGAATGGAGCTCCTTTTTTACTATACAGGTCATGCATAACCTTGTTGAAACATTTTAAAAAAGAAAGAATAAAATTCCCCTGGCATTTAGCGGTGCGCTCGGTCCTGATGTTGAATTGGTGTCCGGATTTTACGGGCGTCCTCTCCTGCGAGAGGTCCCGGGACACAAAAAGTTTGAGAACCGCCGGCGGTTCTTCTATCATCTGGACGCTGCGGTAAAATACGACTGCGTTTGTACCGCGGCGCATGAACCCAGTCAAATGTCAACACATCATGCCGAGAGGAGGTAACTTGCCTTCTTGGCAATATCAAAATCAAGGCCCTCCAGAGCTTCGGTGGCCAGATCCCTCCAATCACTGTCCGTCACGCCTAAACAGGCGATTTGGTGGGCCTCCTTAAACAGCTTCCTCTCCAGGTACTGGTACATGGGCGCCGACTGGCGGGAGATTGCGGCAAAGAAAGCAGAAGCAAACGTAAACGCGTGACATTCATGGGGCGGTTGTCATTGGACTCTGCGGGCGTTCCGGCGGCGATGACGTCCCCCGTCATTGTTAAAAAGCACCTCAGAGAGGGATGGGTTTGCTTTTTCGATGCGCTCTCGGCGATCGGCGCCGCGCCGACGCACCCACCTGAGGGACCTCCACGGCAGACATGGAATAGACGTGGAGGCAGAAGATTTTGGAGCCGTTGAAGCCCACCATGAAGCCTTGCATCTTCTGCTGGTGTACGGGGAAGTTGCTGGCCTTGATGTTCAGGTAGCCGTTGCCGGAGAAGCACAGCATGGCCTCGCACTGAGTGTTCCAGGCCACGCTGTTAGCATTTGGCTCCTGGAGGGAAAGCAAAAGAAAGAAAGAAACACATCTGCTCAAAAAGAAAGAGAAGGGGGGG